TCATATCTTCCAGTTCACTGTAGTTTTATGCCATTAACTTGTTGCAAATTGTTTCTAAATGTGCACGTGTGCTTTTCAGTTTGTTGTAATATTTATACTGCATGCCTTTTTAATATCAAATGGCACATGCTTAGGAAACATTAACCATGACCATCAAGCCTAAGGCTTGGTTCACATATGTGCAGGTGGTGCCGCTGTGGATCCGCACGAAAATCCATGCAGTTGCACCACCCACACAGAGGAATGCGGACCCGTGGTCGGGTGCCATTCATTCTAATGGAACGCCACGCACACTGGAAAACGCAACCGTACTGGGAACCGAGGTTCCCGTGCGGGCTGCGTTTTCAGAAGAAGTGTAGGGAATTCTTCCTTGCGTGTCACGGGGCACGGGAGTCCATTCAAATGAATGGGCTCTTGTGCCCGCGCACGGACGCAATATATGTGAACCAAGGGTTAATCTAATGCTCAGCAGAATAATTTTGCAAGTTGAAGTGTTATCTTGTGTAACCTAGCACTGTTTAATACTGGCAATCAACTGGTTTGCTGTGGTATTTTACTGATTTGACTGTATTGCTCATTTAACTGTATGTTTATTAAATGGCCTGAAATTGTGGAGGGATAGTGAAAGGTTATATTAATAAAGAGACAAAGGGGACAGTTACCACAGGACCACCAGACAGAGGGTCTGCCAACTCTGAGCAATACAAGTAAGGGAGCCTAGGTGAAGCAGTTAAGGAACTTATGTCTGCTGCCTGGTGTCCTAAAAAGCCTTTATACATTTTTAAGGTACCCTGTGAGATCTCGAAAGGTTTAAATTCAGCGGTCCCCTGCTATAGAAGACACCATAAGTTTACCCTTCCAAAGGCCTAATTTTCCTACTTCTCTTCCTTCCTCTGTCCCATTACATCACTACTACGTCTTAGAATGGTATACATGGTCATAGGAAAAAATCAGTGCACCAAGGAGGACACACAAATATGACACTCCTTGAAGTGCTGAATGTCAGAGGCTTGACAAGGCTAGCACTACAATGGAGAAGGCATAAGAGAAGTGGTAAATAAATGCTGTTTCCTATTGCAGGAGATGGATTAATTAAAATCTTTAGAGAGCTGTCAGGATTTCTTTAGGATCATACTGATTTCTTTATTATATATCTTTCTCATCCATTGAGAGACAGAAGTCTATCAACTTCGAGTTTTTACTGCAGCTTACCAAAGGATTGGACATTGCCAAAAAAAAAAAAGCAAAAAACCTGTATACCTGCCCAGGATAATTTCTCCTACTACTACCAGCATGCCTTAGTTTCTTGCTGGCATCCGGCATCCTGCATCCTGGACTTTTATTTTAGTCCAGGTGTGTCAAGTTAGTACTTTATTTTCTTAATTTTCAACATTTTTCTTCAATCAGGACTCTTCTCTACATTGCTGCTATAGATGGATTTGCAGCTATCTGGTGTGGTTGTCCTCAGCATGGCCTTTGAAGTGCCGCGTCTGGATCTTGCTGGGCTGCACTTTGTGGGAATAGCCTGGAAGTGACCTCAGACAATGGGCTTCGCTTAGGTCAATTTCCAGACTACCTTCTGGTAAAGGTTAGCCATGGAATGCTTTCCATGTCCAGTGCTGCAATTGTTGTTTCAGCACTTGCCCTGTCTCTGTGGACTCACTTTGTGAGTGAGCCAGTTATGCTGAGCCTTGGTAGCTGCCTCAAGTACATAATAAAAATAATCTGTGCAGGAGTAAAAATTTTTTATAAAAAGCTGCCAACGCTCTGTTTGTGATACCCGATATACGAACTATAAAAGCAAATGGTGTAGCGCTATACTAAAAGAAAAACAATAATGTGCAATACAGTAGGTTGCAAATCACAGCATGAGAACAATGTTAAGATATATACAGTAGCAAGAAATTCACTTATATTCACAGATTAATAAAGAAAGTGCAGTGTGCAAAAAAAGTCCTGAAAAGGCCATCAAGTGAGCAGTGGCAAACCAGAAGAAATATTCTTTTTATTCAGATACACTACAGTTCAAAGATTATTTTCCACTATGCTAAAGCTTCCACCTTCAAGTTCAGCAGTGTATCCCCTTTTGTGATCCAGCACCTCCAACCACATGCAATAAAGCCACAGACCTCGCCAAGACCATGCATGATGACATCATGTCGATGCTACTTCCCAGGATTTTATCTGCACATGCATTTTATTCATTTTTTTAGATATGGTTAATGAATTGCTTCACATATTGTTTTTTTTAATATTGTTCTTATACTGTGATTTGCAACTTACTGCATTGCGCATTATTGTTTTCTTTTGATATAGCGCTACACTATTTGATTTTATACGTCAAGTACATAGCTCCACGGGCATGTTTTAAATTTCTCAGTTTCCTGAAAGTTTCCACTGCGGAAAGGTTTAACGCTGTGGAACTGAATGTTGATGTCATCCGCTGAGTGGAGAGATGTGCTGTCTTTTCCAACATACAGCAAAGAGGAAGCACCTGCCTGCTTCTGCTTGTGCTTTGCATTTGCCATTTGGAACTTTGATCTTTGAGCCGTTTATGCTGCCTGCCTGCAGTAACTTTGATCACCTCCAAGCCTCACCTTCTACTATCTGTCTGGGTTTTGGGAGTTCCTGAGGCCTTGCCTTTTGACCCTGAGCTTTATATTGCCTTACTGCCATGAGGTTGCAGCATGTCTTATTGCAGCTGTGTGGCAGTAAGGAAAATTGTCCTCCTATACCGGATGCTCACAGCTTACACTCTTTTAACTGCAGCAGGACTGCAGATGGCTTTGTCTGATTCTGAGTTACTCCAACCTTTCCCAGATAAGCTTGCCTCACAGGAGTCTCAGCGCTATGCTATTACTCTCCAATTAAAAAAGACTGTTTTATTTTGGAAACACTGTGACAAGATGTTGTCTTCCCTCAAGCACTTGCTAGCCTTGTACCTGTTTGAAGAGGACCGTGTCAAACAAAATGTTTTAGTAAAGCAACAATACTGGTGGAGAATACACCTGTATTACAGACCCTACCAATAAGTGGTTGAAATCCCTCTTGCACAGATTATCAGATCTCCATAAAGATGTCATTGCCCCAGTTCTTCCAACTTGTTCACCATTACAAAGCATGAATAGGGCATCTGATCCATCCTGCATTTAAAAGCACTGAATTTCTTAATTCAAGCTCAGAAATTCTGTCTTTTTCTGTAGGCCGGGACCATCCTGCTGTAGGGTCATCTAAATCAGGTTTAGTCTTACAACACTGTCATACATCGAACAACAGGGAGGAAGTTGAAGTCTTGCTGCCGCATAAGAGGTGGATCAGATCCTGTCCTTGGGAGTACTTCACGTTCCAGCCTTGTCTGCTGTATATACCACAAGTGGGGACAGTTGGCAGGCAGCCTTACATAGCTGGCAGTGCCTGGATGTAGGGGAGTGGTCCCTACATCCTAAGGTGTTCCAGGACCTGTGCTGCAAGTGGGAGATGCTAGTGTGGACTTCTGGCTTCCAGGTTCAACAATGAACTGAACAGTTTGTCTCCAGGTACAGGGATGTTCCATGGGATCAATACACTCTGATCATTACCCTTCCTTCTTTAAAACGTCTTTCTCATCTGCTTCTCAGGTTTAAGATGGAGGATATTCCAGTGATCACCATTGCGTATACTTCACTTGGTGTGGGTCTCACGGAGCCCTCTCTATAGTTTCTCTGTGAGAAGACCCTTCTCCTTCCCTACAGCTGCGTCTGGGACCAATGTTTTGTACTCTTAAGGGTCAGGTTTCCTTTTCTATTTTGGTCAGAAACTATTGGCCTCTCTCTTTTGATATTGATTTTTGTACAGGGGAGTTGAGACCTAGGACTTACATCTTGCCCAGGGTAGTTTCTGCCTTCCACCTAAACCAGGACTTTGTTCTTTTATTTCCCTGTCCGGCTTCAGTTTACCCTAAGGAAATTTCCGTTCATTGGCCTTATGTGGCACAGGCTTTGAGGATTTACCTCTCAGCTTCTTCTTATTTAAGGAAGATTCTCTTTTTGTATTCCAGATGGACCCAGAAAGGGTGCTCTGGCTTCATGTTCCACTGTTTCTAGCTGGCCAAGCAGACCATCATCCAAGCTTTATGGCCACAAGTATCAGATCCCACCCTTTTCAGTCAAGCTGCACTCTACTAGATCTTGCTTTTTGGCACCAAGCTACCTTTTTCAGATCTGAATGGCTGCCACTTGGTCTTCTGTTTACATGTCCATAAAGTGAAAGAAAGCGAGGGGTTGATTTACTATAGCTGGAGAGTGCAAAATCTGGTGCAGCTTTACATGGTAGCCAATCAGCTTCTTACTTCAAGTTTGTTCAATTAATCTTTGTCAAAAAAAACAAACCAAATAACCTGTAAGCTAATTGGTTTCTATGCAGAGCTGCACCAGATTTTGTACTATCCAGTATTCGTAAATCCACCCATATGTGTCACCAATGAACAAGAAAGAGAAAATATTTTTTTACTCCCTGCAAAATCCTTTTTTGGAGCCCATTGAGGGTCGCATCTCCCACCCCTCTGTGTGTTTTCTGATCATGCTTGTGGTGCTGCTTTGCTGCTAAACTATGACATTTCTGGTAAGAATAGTTATCCTGGGCTGGACTACAGTTTTTGTTTACCAATGTCCAATCTACCTGTAGGCGGCAGTATAACTTGAAGGTAATAGACTTTCTTGTCGCTCAATGGACTCTTAAGAAAAAGATTTCACAGCAAGAGCAAAAATCCTATTTTGGTAACTTTTATGCAATTTAATGTATGTACCTAATCCATCCATTGCCATGATGAATCAAATAAGCATTCACTCCAAAAGCATGATCTTTTTATATGTAATATTTAATATCCTGTCTGGGGGTGATTTGAAAAATATTGATTGCTCACACACAATCCTGGGTGGACAAAATCTTTCAACTTAATTTTTATTGGCTATCATGTTTCATGAACTTATTATCTTTTCTTTCTTTCATGTCTACCTGTGCAGCCGAATCTGAAGGTAAAAATTTGCTTTTGTGTGTCAGGTGTTGGCTCTTTTTTCTTTGTTCTGTTCACTTAATTGCTCTGCTACCTATTTAATCTGTGCATATGTTAGAATTAAAGGGAATGTATAGTGTATTTTCAGCTGCTCCAGTGTTTATTTTAAAGTAATTTTTACAAGTGACTTTAAGACCTCTTGCACACTGCAGCTTGAAAAAGCTCAGTACAGCTTTTTTTTTTTTTTCTAGTGATGTTAAATGCAGCCCATTGTTTACAATGTGTCTGTACACACAGGTGCGTAAACAGGCACTGTGTATTCTTGAGTAAGCAAAAAATAGAAAACTCTGCTTTCCTGGTCCGTATTTTGAGCAGGTACACACAAGTACATGCAAATATGCGCATATGAGCATAAATACTTTGAATTTTCATAGATTTTGCCAAAAGAAATCTATGCGCAAACATCAGTACTGTGTGCAAGAGGCCTTACATTTTATTAGCTTGCTCTTACATATTTTCAGTGTATTAAATACAGAGTTTTTTAGATTAGGCAGCAGAGAAAGTGCTGTCTTTCTCACTGCAGTTCTTCATACTCACTTCTTAGAAGTTGTTAAGATGGAATATCACATAATGTGCATATGGTTTTCAGTATAGCAGCACAACATTTGCATGACTCTGCAAAGTAGGAAGCACAACCTGTGGAGAAAATAAGGGTGTCCCATGGACATTTATGATTACATATAAGTTCAGCTTGGTCCTGCTTCCTCCCACCTCTAAGCCATCCATCATTATGGTGGGTAACAGGGAGGCTTGGGAGACAGAAAGGGGTGGGGCCAAGCTTGACATTTAGAGAAAATGTTGATTAACTTTTATCACTTTGATCTACTGATCACTTTGACATGTACTTATCATGTTTACATTGGTGTCAAGCTCTGCTTATTCATTTTTCCACCATATGCGGAGTTCAAATTGCCTAGGTTTTGTAATTGATATTAAGCTTTTTTAAATTTAGCTCATCTCTTTTGCATGCATAACTAAAAAACACCTTACCCTTTTGAGACCATTTCTTATATCATTGTAATGTCTTTTTGCCAAATTACAAGAGGAGTGGTGGCAACTCGATGGTCAGTGACCAATAAAAATGAAGATAAAGTGTGATTGTAACAAAAGCCATCATGAACTAAATGGAGAACCAAAGAACTCATGTCTTTTTCTCTCCTCTTTCTCTTACTCATTTGTAATGACTCTGATAAACTGGTTGATATTAACAGTGGGCACATTGGCAAGAATCTCACTGTGCACAGGGAGTAAGCCTAAGGAAATTTTATGAAGAAGTTTTAAGTAATAATGTAATTCTCCCTGTTCATCTATTATATTTCTGTGAATTCCCATTATGATCTATATAATTTATTAGGTCAGGGCTTCAAATTTGCCCGAGCTACTAGCCAGGCCTTAAGAGTTACTCGCCACCAACAAACACACACAGAGACAGTTGTACACATACACAGACATGTACATACACAGAAACATGTACACACACACGCACAGAGACACATGTATACACACACAGGCACACAGACACATGTACGTACATACACACACAAACACATGTATGTACATACACGCAGACACATGTACAGATACACAGACACATGTACATGCATACAAACACACACAGATGTACACACACACACACCCCCTATAAAAAGTTGCAGTACTTCGTTGTTCACTCACAGAGCTGGGTACTGCAATCTAGGGGGAGGCAGAGAACACAGCACACACTCCTTTGCTTTCACTGCGCTCAGCTATTGAGCAGTGTGACGGCTCCCAGTGCCAGTGACAGATCCGGCCTGAGCTCTGAGCCTGCTCAGCAAGATGGCCCTGGGGGACACACTCACCCCCACCATAATTTCCACTCGCCATTGGCGAGCAGGCAAGTGGAAATTTCAAGGCCTGTATTAGGTGATTATTTTTTTAATATACTGATTATTGCTTACAACCCCAGTTCCAAAAAAGTTTGGATGTTGTGTAAAATCTACATAAAACAGAATGAAATGATTTGCAAATCTCATAAACCCATATTTTATTGAAAATTGAAAACATGAATATTTAAACTGAGAAAATAGTTTTTTAAAAAAATGGTAATTTTGACAATGATGGCAGCAACACATCTAAAAAAAAGTTGGCACAGGACCATGTTTACCATTGTGAGGCATCCCCTCTTCTTTTTAACAATACCCTGTAAACATCTGGGAACTGCGACCAGTTGGTGGAGGTTTGAGAGAGGAATGTTGCCCAATTCTTGCCTGATAAAAGGATTCCAACTGCTCAACAGTCTTTGGTATTCTTTGTTGTATTTTTCATGCACCAAATATTTTTACTTGGTGAAAGGTCTGGGCTGCAGGCAGACCAGCTAAGCACCAAAACTCTTCTACTACAAAGCTGTGCTGTTGTCATAGATGCAGTATGCTGTTGAACATTGCCGTGCTGAAATATGCAAGGCCTTCCCTGAAAAAGACATTGTCTGGATTGGAGCGTATGCTGCTCTAATACCTGAATATATCTTTCAGCATTAATCATGCCTTTCAGATGTGCAGGCTGCCCATTCCATACATGCTAATGCACCCCCATACCATCACAGATGCAGTCTTTTGAACTGATAACAAGCTAGAAGGTCCCATTCCTCTTTAGTCTGGAGGATGCGGTTCCCATAGTTGCCAAACACAGTTGCTGACCACAGAGCAGTTTCCCACTTTGCAACAGACCATTTTAAATGGGCTATGGCCCAGAGAAGATACTGGCGTTTCTGGATCATGTTCAGATGTGGCTTCTTTATTGCATGATAGAGCTTTAGCTTGCATTTTTGGATGATATGGCGGACTGTGTTCACAGACAGTGATTTTTGGAAGTATTCCTGAGCCCATGTAGTGATGTTCATCACAGAATCATGTTTGTTTTTAATGCAGTGTCGTCTGAGGGCCCGAAGATAACAGGCATCCAGTATTGTGTTTCGGCCTTTCCCCTTGCGCAGAAAGATTTCTCCAGATGCTCAGAATCTTTTGATATTATGTACTGCAGATGAGGATAATAAGTCTTTCCAATTTTACATTGAACAGTATTCTGTAATTGTGCAATACTTTTTTCTGTTTCAATGTGTTTATTACAATTTTATATCCAAAATATTAAAGTCGGACATTCTTAAGATAGTAAAGTTGTATAGCAGTTCTACAATGCAGGCAGAATATAAAGTCAAAGCCGACAGACCAGGAAGATACAGATGGCTTGTAACATAAGTATCAGAATTGTAAGGCAATAAGAGGTTCAGTTAAGATCAGCAAAGCATCCTAATTACATACCATGCCTGCTCTTGGGACATACCATAGTTACATCTACATCTACACCCACATTCCATAGCAGCTTCTCCGTTATAATGGAAGATAAATTTGAGATGTTCAACAATTTTTTGGAAGCAGCTTGTCACAGATTGGTGAATCTCTGCCCCATCTTTACTTTTGAGACACACTGACTCTACAAGATGCTCTTTATATACCCAGTCATGTTACTGTCATGTTACTGTCCTGTTGCCAGTTAACTTAGTTGCAAAATGCTCTTCCTTGTTAGTACTACTTGCCTTCCCAGCTTTTTGTTTCCCCGTCCCTATGTTTTTGAGACATGTTGCTGCCATCAATTTTTTTGCCATCTTATTTTTTTTCTTAAAATGGTACATTTCCCCAGTTTAAGCATTTGATATGTTTTCTATTGTAAATAAATTATGGCTTTATGAGATTTGCCAATCATTGCATTCTGTTTTTATGTAGATTTTACACAACATCTTAAAGTGGTTCTAAAGCTTCAAAGTTTTTTTACCTTAATGCGTTCTATGCATTAAGGTAAAAAAATCTTCTGTGTCACTCACCCCCCCCCCCCCCCCTTTTATAATTACCTGATCCCCATCACTATCCTGCTCTGTGCATATGAGCTGCACCTCTCCTGACATGTCCCTCTTCGCTAGGTAGATCGATAGCAGTGGGAGCCATTGACTCCCACTCCTATCAGTCAGCGCCAGTGACGAAAGAGCTGGGGGGCGGGTCCAAGTCCTGCTCTCTGTGTCAATGCAATCGGCTTCCTATTGGGACACCAGCAAGAGAGGAGGAGCCAGGAGCAGCAGCGGGACACCCGAGAAGAGATTTGGGGCCACTCTGTGGAATTTGTATTGCACAGAGCAGGTACGGTGCCTTGAAAAAGTATTAATACCCCTTGAAATTTTTTATATTTTTTTTATGTTACAACCAAAAATGTAAACGTATTTTATTGGGATTTTATGTGATAAACCAATACAAAGTGGCTCATAATTGTGAAGTGGAAGGAAAATGATAAATGATTTTCAAAGTTTTTTACAAATAATTGTTTGAAAAGTGTGGTGTGCATTTGTATTCAGCTCCCTTTACTCTGATACCCCTAACTAAAATCTAGTGCAACTAATTTCCTTCAGAAGTCACCTAATTAGTCCACCTGTGTGTAATTTAATCTCAGTATAAATACAGCTGTTCTGTGAAGACCTCAGAGGTTTGTTAGAGAACATTAGTGAACAAACAGTATTATGAAGGCCAAGGAACACACGAGACAAGTCAGGGATAAAATTGTGGAGAAGTTTGAAGCAGGGTTAGGCTGTAAAAAAATATTCTAAGCTTTGAACATGTTACAAAGCATTGTTCAATCCATCATCCGAAAATGGAAAAAGTATGGCACAACTGTAGACCTACCAAGACATGGCTGTTCACCTAAACTGACAGGCCAGGCAAGGAGAGCATTAGTCAGAGAAGCAGCTAATAGGCCCTTGGTAACTCTGGAGGAGCTGCAGAGATCCACAGCTCAGGTGGGAGAATCTGTCCACAGGACAACTATTAGTTGTGCACTCCACAAATCTGGCCTTTATGGAAGAGTGGCAAGAAGAAAGCCATTGTTGAAAGAAAGCCATAAGAAGTCCCATTTGCAGTTTGTGAGAAGCCATGTGGGGTACAC